CAGCCTCGACGTCATTATTTGCAGCGAAACGGATGCTAAAATGTAATTCGCCTGTCAGACGAGGCCATGAAAGCGTGTCTTACTAGCTGAACAGCCGTTCATGTCACCAACGCAGCCCGATCAAATATCACTAATCAAATTGTTGAGATGTGTCATAAAGTCAAATTAAGTCTTACAGCCTGGACATCGATGAGCGGTCCAATCTTCATGATCCGTAGCCTATCGCACAAGATCCCGAGACTCTCCGTCTCAGCGGCTCATGACGGTCTACATCTCTTCGTGTTGATGCTAGTGAGGGAACAAGGTGAGGCAGGAGAGGACATGCTGATCGAGCATCAGATCAGGGATGCTCCGTTGGCTGAGCTGCAGAGAAGCATGGAATCATGAATGTATGATCAGGCCGGAGAATAAGTTGAGCCAGTTGGCAAATCTTCTTGATTCATGCTTGGTCACCCTGAATTTTTATCAGAACCTTCCGACAAAGTTTTTTATTTATTTATTAATATGATCATCAATCATGAATGACATCTATGAGGTTAAGTTGAGCGATGAGCCGGCACCATGATTTATAGATTTGCAAACACAAAGCATTTGTGGGCTGTGAACGACACACGCCGGTAAGCGGACTTAGGCCGGAGTTCGGCTCTATAATCCATGCCGGTCGGTTGCGCCCGCTTCAGGGTGGTGTTGGGAAAGCCACCTCGTCGTGAGTCACTGCGCCTTCCTGGCCATATACAAAAGTACATGCGTTTAGGAACAGGAGGCTTTTTCACCTGCCCACATCAAATCTACATGTCTGTAGATTCTCAAAGTCGTCTGCGTGCACTCGCAAATTTTGCAGACCGATCGTTGCCACGACGTTTCCTTCGATTCGCCGCCCTCAGCATCACTCGTATGTGGTAGGATACCTTGACAGTCCCTATCATCTTCGACGTAGAAGTGAAGAGGTGTTGCTATCCGATTGTTATTCCATACACGGTGGGCAAAGGGCAGGCATGACGAGGTCCGCGCCCAAGCGTACTACATTATCAAGGGCAGTGTGGCATCATGCGTCTGGGAGTGCACGCAGTCGATCCTTTATTCATAGACCGCGCGATCACCAATGAATAGACGACATCAACCGTTGCAGCGCGAGACTCTCAATAGAGGACCGTCAAGCCGCCTCCGTGCGACGCTGGGAGACACGAGTACTTGGCAACGCAAGATGTGCGTTACTGACACTCTGCATCATGTTTGTTCGGCCGGCAATACACGGTCGCTGGCAGCACGCAGGTTGAGTCTCTTCAATTCGCTCTGCTTGCCCGACCTCCCAAAGGCGACACGGATGCGCGAGTTGCCAGGTGCCTCACAAACACTCGGCACAGCCAAGCATGCTCGCTGGATCGTTCAGCCGGCGGTGACAAAACTCAGCGTCTAGATTGGCGCCGAGGGACACGTCATACCCGCCACTTCCGACGGACGAGTGCGCGACAAGCGTGACAAGGCTTTCAAGCCGTGTTCTCAAGCCTGCCTTATCACAGTAGCCACTCGGACATCCAGTCAAGCCAAACTCAGCCATCCGCGATTACCAAACAGCGAGATTGAGGAAGATGAGAAACAGCCATCCACTCCTCGAGAGCTAAGAGATTGAAGGCTTGAACACGAGCACAATGACCGACATCGTAGACGGCCACCGCACTCTTCTCTCAGTGCGGAGCAGAGATGAAGCCGGGGACAGGAGAGAGCAGAACGGGAGCTTTGCGAGGCGATTCACTTCTTTGAAAATCTGGCCGGCAATGAAAGGTGCTCAGAATCGAGCACGTGTGTAGCTCGGTAGGCCTTTCTAGAGGCGCAGATGAGGTGGAAGCGTCGGATCTTGGCAGACTCTGCCTTCCGTACGGCAAGCGACACATGGTGACGCTGTGAACTCTGGCGCGGAATGCGCTCCTCAAAGATGGTGTTCGACCTCATTGGATAGTAACGGAGCCGGCAGAAGATGCGCAGGCGATTGGCCGTGCCTGTCCCTTGCACGACCAAGGAGGCAAACAACTCTTTGCCGCGCACGAGAGCGTTTGACCTACTGTTTGATCTTGCACGACTTCTATGGCACTCACGCTTGTACGCTGGCCGTACACACGAATACCGCGGTGACGCAGACGTGATGACAGGACAAGAAGCAAAGATGCACTTCTGTTAAAGTCAGAATCCGCGTCGCCAAAATGACTTCCAGAGGCGTCATGCGAAGGCCGAGCCCAGCCACAAGAATATTACAAGAAGGCAAAGATATCTGCCGTGGGCTGTGAGAGCCATTCTTGTAGAGCTGGCACACGAACTCTGCTGAACTGCGCATCTACCGAAGGCACACCACTGCTTGAAGAGAGCGAGAAGGTCTCATCTACTTTCACGGAACCACGCTCGTCGAGTTGGCAGTACGTATGGATGCTGTGTCAACGCAGGGGACCAGATACTCCTCGCCGAACACAAGCGTCAAGAGTGAGTCGTGATGTGCAGTCTGTGCCGACTTGCGCACTTTACGAGCCACGAGCTTCAAGTGCATCTGTGTGTCAAAAACAACGCAATCGTCGCCGATTATGGGCCGGCTTGGTAGAGACATTGCCGAGTCGGTAGGTTGTGTGCTCCGAGGCATCGGCGATCACTCCCCACCTAATACAGATCGAGCCGCCGCGATGTTGTGCGGGACCATGCTTGAACACACAAAAGCTAGGGAAGCCGCCGACCGCAAACAAGAGGTAAAGACGCCCGTCGCTTGTGTAGATAAGCACACGAAGGCTGTGGGAACCGCCGACCATACGTTGAAAAGGTCCCGGGCGCATCTGCAAAAGTCAAAGCACTCGTCATCGAACATAAGAGCATGTGGCGATGGTGTGCGAAGGCATGCTTGCAGAGTCGGCCCAAAGTACTGAAGTAGACGTCACGGATGCGATGAGGATTGCGAGTACGACAAGTCGAATACGACGTTCATCGTCTTATCCCTTCCTCAAGCCTTCGGCTCACGGTCAGCCTCATCGTGAGCTTCATCGCGAGCTTCATCGCATGCTTCATCGCCAGCTTCTTCGCGAGCTTCATCGTGAGCCTGACCATGAGCAGTATTCTGTTCCAGCGAGCACGGAATGCCGCATGGTGAGCCTCACACCCTTTTTTTAAGCACTGACTGTACACGGAGCCTGACCAATACTCGCCTCGGAGCGGAATGCACGTGTGCAGTCTGCACTCGGCTGACGACGAGGACAAAAGGGCACTGCACACACACGCAACCCTGCACCCGCTGTATCATTCGCCAGCAATCGCTGCATCACTCTGAGTACACCCTCGTGTCCCTCCGTGGGGAAAAAATTATGCAATTGCAAAGACGGCCATCAAGCGCTAGATCCCTGCGT